TGGTACAGGAGCCACACCACAATAAAGGAGTTTAAAAAAACAGAACAGGCTTAGGTCTTCCCTGAGCTCAGAGGTTCCAAATAGCAGCTGTGTCTGCAGTTAACTGTTCTCCATCTGCCCGGGTGGTCCTCCCCAGTTGTCACACACAGGTGACAAGTTCCACTCACCCATGGGTGTCCAGCCTGCTGTGGTTGCCTTCCCTTTCTTCTTGCCTGTGCTTGCTTAGCCCCAACAACCACACAAGGCAATTTCTTATGATAAGTCCATATATACACTGTATGTATCTCGGTGGTATGTGACATATGTGTATATTATAATAATATAACAAATATAAATCATTTATATTATCAATATATTAGCATATATTAAGAATAGAATAGTATATTTTAAACATGTATTAGATAAATATACAATATAGAAATTACTGGTTCAACTCCTCTGGTTAGTCTTTGCTGATACAAAATTTGGTTTCAAGAGTGGGGAGCTGCTGTGACAAATACCTGAAATTTGGGAGCCGCTTTGAGACTGAGCAGGGGGGAGGCTGGGAGAATTTTGAGAAGCACGGTCAAAAAAGTCTGAATGACTTGGACAGACTGTGAATAGAATGTGGATGTCCCAGGTGTCACTGGTGAGGACGCGGGGTGGAGTGAGACACTGGTAGGACACCACAGGAAGGGGATCCCTCTTATGTGGTGGCAAAGAGTTTAGTGACATTGTCCATTGAAAGCAGAACTTGTAAGTGATGAAGTTCCTGTGTAGGTAAGGACATTTCCAAGCCAAGCACTGAAGGTTTGGCTCCTTCTTGCTGCTTATAGTAAAACGTGTGAAGAGAGAGAGAAATCGAGAGGAGAACCATCCAGCAAAAATGAACCAGCACCTGATGATTTTGAAAAGCTTCAGCTCCCCAAGTGATGCTAGCGGTGCTAAAATTAAGAAATTCCAGCTGAACACGAAGAAGCAAGCCACCAGGACTCTTACAGCTTCAAGGAAAGGAATTCCGCCTACAACCACGTGAGCTGGGGAGAGGACCCCCAGCCGCACATAGGACCCCAGCCCCAGCCAAAGCGTGACTGCGGCCTTGGGAGACCCCGAGTGGAAGACTCAACTATGCCAACCCCACTGGGGAAACTAGGAGATAATAAATGTGTGTTGTTCTAGCTGTTACGTTCATGGCCATTTCTCACAGAGCAACAGAAAAGTACTGCTGCCCCTTAGGATGTTACAACTTATACACTGAGCTGAAGGACAAGAAGAACTGAGCTCCGGGCTGCTGGTTCTAAGTTATTATGCTCCCAACAAGGAGGCGGCATTTTGTAGTCCTTTTGGGGTTATGACCTCAGAAGATTCTTGTAGAGTAACTCATGTTTTCTGATTGTTGTCAGCAGAAAACCACGAATCAACCAAGATGTTTACCATATACCTCCAGGGATAATGCTGCCAACATGGAGAAGGCAACTTTTACCAAGAGTGGAAAGGTCTAGAAGCACACAGGCACTGTGGCCACTGTTTGCAGACAGCTCCCAGACACTGACTCAGAGAGCGGCGGAGCGACACTCACCTGTGCTTCACCCACGTGTCACACTCGCTGACCCGCTCCGTGTAGTTCTCGGGCAGGAAGCCCCGGCAGCCAGTCCGCTGCGAGGTCCCAATCACCCAGCCCTCGCTGGCTTCCTCCTGCTGAGTGGGGTCCACGAAGATGTGGTCGCCGGGACTCAGCATCAGCTCATCCACGTTCTGGGGGTTGTACTGGTACAGGACCCTCAGGGTCTAGAAAGGAGGCAAGTGTCCTCATGTCTCGAGCAAGGACGTGTGCTGGGAAAGAGCACTGGGAGGGTCTTTGCTCTCAGGCTCCCCTGATGGCTTCCGCGTCTCCAAGACGCATCCAAGCCTTTGTTGATGACAGTAGGATAGAACAAAAGGGTGCATAGGCTTCTGTGGATGCATGTAGAAGTGAATTTTGGTATCTGTCCCTGTCCATCTTACTGTTATCTCTATTTATGTGTTTCTCATATGAAAATTCTCAAAGTGTAACGAGATGCTCACATCCACCCTCCTTGGAGTGAGGTGATTTGCAGCATCTCCCACACCAAGGAACGTGGTGGATTCGGTCATACTTATTCCATGGGTCTGAAAGGAGGACCAGCTTCCTATTTAAACCAACCAGTTCCATGGGGAGGAAGTCCTGGCATGCGACTTCACTCAAGTCATTAAATAGTTAATAAGCAACCCAGTGTATTCCATTATGAGCCTTTGCAATGGTGCATTTTTTTGTTTCCTCTTTAATTATAATGGTGCATTTTTAATGCCAGAAATTTTTCCATTTTTTCCCCCAAATTTCTATGTGTTTGCAACTCACTTACAAAAGAAAGTTGATTTCAAAATGCAGACAACAAAGTGATTTTGGAGAAACAGTAGAAGTTATTCCTTCTTCTAAAGTTCCTCCAGCCAAGGGCCCTGGGGCCAGTGCTCTGCCAGAGGGGGAGCCATGCACCTGTTCCTGTGGGGGGACCCAGCCCGACAGCCTGACTGGGGCCTCCCTGGCTGGGCCCCCAGGCCCGGGTTTGCTTACCTGGTAGTGTACGAAGCGCATGTCCCGGGAGTAGAGCGCGGCGGTCCACTGGCAGCTGTGGCCCGGGGGGATGGCTCTGGCCAGCTGCTCTAGCGTCCTCTGGTGGTGGGGGTAGAACTTGTGGGCCAGGGTCAGATGCAGCTGCTTGGTGCAAGGCTTCACGGTGCAGTCTGTGAAATCAGGCAAACGGGGGTGCTGGGCACCTGTACCCAAACCGCCAGCACCGCACGCCCAGGGGCTCCGCGTCCCAGGGCAGCTACGCGCCCAGGTTGGCGGTGAAAGCGCCATTATGCGTGGAGCCTCTTCCCCACCCCCCTGCACCGGGCGGGGCTTCCTCCACAAGGCAGACACTCGGCCCCGATGGCGTCGTGGCACAGAGGTCACCTCATTAGTAAGGAGATGACTGGACGCCTGCAGATTGTACGAGGAAGTGGGAAAGCGGCGGGTGTAGAGATACAGGGTTCTTTTTGGGGCGGGGGGATGGTTTGTGGCCTACCAGTTTGCAAGCTAGTTGCCCAAATGATTAAAATCTGCATCCCCTGGGATGCACATGTTGCTCAGTGGCCGGGGCGGGTGAGCTCGGGCAGGCTCCAGGTCGTCGGCTTTCTGTTCAGTTGCAGTCTTTGGAAGAAAGGCCCTGGGCAATGCGCCTCCGGCAAGCACGGCAGCCCCTCTAACAGCGGCCGCTCTGGTGAGGCGGGTGCCCTCGGAGCGGCCGGGCCCTGGCCTTTTTGAGTGACCTCTATCCTTGTGGCCCCAGCCCTCGTGGCCCTCCTCCCGGGGCTCTCAGGTCAGTGGGCGGCGGCACCCCGAAGCAGCAGGATCTAACATCAGCCAGGCTGCCAGGCCGCTATGTTCCAGGGTGGCGGTGATCAGAGGAAGGGCACAGACTTTGGAGTCAGACAGACCTGGCCCCGTCTGGCAGATGACCTTGGGAGCATCCTGGTCTGACTCAGCTTCAGTTTCCACGGCAATGACTTGAGGTGAGGATGGCAGCCCGCAGGGCTGTCGTGGGAAACAGGTCTCCTAACTGTCAGGTCCCCAGGAGACTCAGGTAGCATTAGTTATCTGCCCCCTTTCCCACGGGCCACCCTTAGCCACATGCAGGCTCTGCCCTCCCCTCCACCCCACCCCCTAAAAAAGTCAAAGGAGACGCAAGCGCTTCCGGGAGCCCAGACTTGGCCCCACCCTTGTCTTCCACCCTCTAGCTGAGACTTTGTGACCAAAGGGGAAACCAGTGAGGTCTCCATGCCCTGAGCTGCGGGGGTGAGAAGCCTGAAGCAAGAGAGTGTGTGGGCGGCGGGGAAATTCCTTTTCTCGGGTGTTTCAGCCGAGCAGGGGAGGATGGCCGTGCCCTGTGAGTCAGCATGGCTTGGGAAAGGCCCGCCGGTCCTTATCGGAGAGATCACGGAGGAACCGGCATCTGAGTGAGCGTGGCCCTGGGGACGCCGAGGTGGCAAGGGACACACTTGCTGGAGAGGACCCACAGGGTCGGAGTCGGCCCAGGGCACAGGCTGTGGAAGGGCAGGGCGGAGCCTGCCCAGGGTCAGGTGAGGGGCAGGAGGTCAGAGCCGGCCCCCCCAGGAAGCAGGGCCGGCCAGCACGAAAGCCAGGCGGTGTGGAGCAAGACAGGGCTGGACTCCAGTGCCAGATCCGGCCCCCACTGGTTAGGGGACTCTGTTGGTTTCTTGAACTGTTGTCACAGACTGCCACACACTGGGTGGCTTAGGACAACAGACATTTCTTTTCAAAATTCGGAGGCCCGAAGTCCAAAGCCAAGGTGGCGGCCGGCCAGCCCCCTCTGCAGGCTCTGGGGAAGGTCTTCCCTCGCTCCTCCAGCTCCCGGCGGCCCCTGGCCCTCCTTGGCTTGTGGCCGCGCCCCTCCAGTGCCTGCGTCCAGTGTCACATGGCCTCTCTGTGTCTCCCTGCAGCTTCCCCTCATCTTACAAGGACCCCAGATGTTGGGTTTAGGGCCTGCCCTACTCCAGTGTGACCTCAATTAATTACACCTACAAAGACCCTATTTCCAAACAAGGTCCTTCTCTGAGCTTCTGGGAGGGCATGAATTTTAGGGGACACGTTTCAACCCATGACAGTGACCTTGGGCAAACACTTTATTCTTCACAGCCCTGGTCACTCCTTTCTAAAATGGGACCACTGAAAGCCATTCTGGGGGGGCATGAAGAGTCAGTGGGCTGCTGTGCCTGTTCGGAGGCCAGTAGCTGACACTTTTCACCAGGACAAGAGCCACGTTGTCCATTTAGAGACGAGGAGATTAAAGAGTTGTCCTCTGGACGCACGTTTACACAAAGGCGACCAGTCCTCAAAGACGCGGGTATGTTTATAATGATCTAGCAAATATGACCCCAGACCCAACAAGCCAGCATCCAGATGGAAACCTGGGGCCAAGGAACGTGGTCACATGGCTGGGATCCTCGTGCGCACAAGTCTGCGGGGGGCAGGGACGGCCCCTCCCCGGGTACCGCGGTCTCCTCGAGTTTCAGACTCAGCAAATCACAGCAGGACCAAGCACCTCTGGGTGCCAGGAAGTTCCCCAAACAGGCTGCAGAAAATGGCTCGGGGGTTAGAGCAGGTGATTAGGGGCACATCCCTAAGTGGAGATGAGGGAGAATTCGCGCCTGAGGTCAGGGGCAGAGTTGCCTCTAAACCCCAGCTGGCACCTCAGCCTCCAGACCCCGGCTGGTGTTGGAGAAAAGGGATTTGGCTAATTCTCAAAGTGAGTCTAAATAATCTTTCCCCCAAGAGGCCAAGGAGGCAAGGCTACACTCATACCTAAAAAATGAAAATGAACCGTCTAGGACTTGTGTTTACACACAGCGCTGGCCCCGTGAGGAGAGAGACCTTGGGGAGGGGGAGACACATAGGGCCGGGGGTTCCCCAACCCCCTGCGTGCACACCAGCCTACACTCCCCCGTCCCTTTGGAGCCACATAACGTCCCCTCCTGGGACAGTCTCCCAGGTGGCTGGACTATGACTGAGTGTTTTGAAAAAACCACATCCCTGCAGACGAGGCTGCTCCCTCTTAGAGGACAGCTCTCTGCTGGTTCTGAGTCTCTGTTCGCTCACGGTTTTGAAGGACATCCTAGCCCAGTAGGGAGGCTCTGACTAATTGTTCAGCTTTAGGTTAAGGCTGTGTCCCAGTTGCTGATGGGAAAGAGCAGGTGGGGGCGGAAGTGGCCTGTTGAGGGCACGTGCGCCCCCTGCCCCGGAGACCAGGCAAGCCAGGCCTCCAGCCGGCTGACGTCGGAGAACAGCCTGCACTCGTGGTCCGCCTATGGCATCCAAGTGCGGGAGCTCAGCCCCAGGCACAAAGGGGTCCCTTCCTCGGCACCGGGCCCTGCCTACCTGCCAAGGATGAGGCTTCCGAGGCGAACATCACGGCAAATTCCCGGATGATGTCTGCGGGGCCGTCGCTCACGAAGAAGCCCAGGTAGCTGATGGAGGAGTGGAGAACCAGGGGCACAGCCGCAGGGAAGGTCCCCAGGACCCGGTCCCCGGCTCGCTTCAGTGCCTCGTACAGACACTCCACCTTCTGGTCTTCGCACTGAGGGACAGAGACAGGACAGTCACCTGTTACCTTAATGAATAAAAGTCACCCGACACGGGAGGCTCTTTTGTGCTTGTGACACTATAACATAATGTAACTGGTCCTGGCGTTCGGGGCTATGGATTTGCTCTACAGCTGGTTCCCAGTTTCTTAGACAATTCAGGTACAGTTCTTTTGGGGATGGAATACCCTTTAAGTGCCCAGGTGGGAAGTCCCCTGTCCGTCTAACTCCGTCCCTCACTCACTCCACCTTGCGGTGACGCAACCCTGCGTCGCTTCTGGAGCCCCCTCCTCTCCCGGGGCCCACAGCTGTGCTCAGCACCGCATTACTGGCTTCTGGAGGAATCCAGTCGACCTTGAGGCAGCCCCAGGGTACCCTGCTCAGAACCTACCCCACAGAGGAGGGTCGTAGCCAGCAGCAGACCATGCTCTCAGCCAGTGACTGAGCCGTCCTTGTCCCTGACAGCATGTCCTCCAAGGTGGTCTTGGGTCCCAAGCTCCTCGTCACCCCCCGCCTGTCACTCACCACCTGCCTTCCAGCCAGACCGAGCGCCTCCTGGCTCCTGGGCTCAGCGCTGCCCAAGCCGCCACCTCAACTTGAAGCCCTTCCTCCACACGGAAGACTCTGCGAGGCCACGTGGGACCCCCGTAGGACCCGGACACGGTGACCCCCACGGGAGGCTGGCCGGTCCCTGCTCTCCCCAGCCACGGGCTCCCTCTGAATTTCCCACGCACTCCTTAGTCTCTGAGGGATAAACCTTATTGCCGCTTTTAATGGACACTTCCTCCCCACTCTGAACTGGGGGCACACTAAACTCACAAAACCCTGTGGGCTCCGTCTTTGCAGCCCTCACGGGCCTGGAAAGCAGTGGGCACCACTGCACGTGGGGGAACAGCTGGCCACGTGGTGTTTCTCGGTCTCAGACATTGATCAGGACGCTCAGAGCCATGTTATAAACAGAGCTGCAGTGGACGCCACCACCTGGGGGTCGCACGTTCTCACTTTACCGAGTCAAAGGCAGAGAGAGACCCTGTTACTCGCTTCTGCTGGAAAAGGGGTCTCGGCCACCAAGGCAGGGTGGGGCAGGGGTGGGGGGACCAGGAGGCGCAGCAGAAGGGAGGGGTGTGTGTGTGTGTGTGTGTGTCTGTCTGTGTCTGTGTGACACGGTCTGTGTCTGTGTATCTGTGTGTGACATTGTGTGTCTGTATATATTGCCGACTGAAATAAAAGTCCCAACCTAAGAGCTGAGCATTATGTTTTATTCAGCGACTTTCCAAGGACTTTAGCCCGGGACACGGCCTCTCAGATCCCCTAAGAGATGGCTCCAAAGAGGCAAGGTAGAAGCCAGGATGCATATGAGTCTTCGCAACAAAGACCAGGTAGTCAGAAAATCGAAAGATGACTGTTAATTAAAGAAAACCAGACATCTCAAGTTAAGGAATTTAGCGCTTTTCTGTGTGTGGGAAGGTGCAAAGGGCTGGGCTCATTGAAGTCACTCCTCTGATCCGCACCTTTGCTGTCTAGGGCAGCATCCTCTTCGTCCACATCCTGAGCCCCCTCAGGGGGCACCGCTGGGGGTGGCAGCAGAGGCCAGGCTGCCTGCTTGTCTGCATCCTGAGTTCCCTCCGCTCACTGTTGAGGGTGGTGGTAGAGGCTGAGGACTTGATGGCTGAAATATTTTTCATTTACAGTACATATGTGTGTGTGTGTGTCTGTGTGTGCATTTGTGCGTGACATGGTTTGTGTGTATGCGTACGTGTGTGTGTATGCATATGTGTGTGCATGTGCAGGCGTGTACACACCTCAGTGTAGAGATGTTGAAGGACATGGAAGCCCAGGCCAGCACTCTCTCCCCGACGGCCAAGCATGTGCATTTCTAAGGTCATGTTTATCACAGCCCGGCTGCCTCTTCTTTCCCTGATGAACTCCAAGGACAGCCAGAAAGGAGCCCGAATGTCACAAATGCCACCAGCCCAGCAAATGAGGATTATTGGCAGGGGCTCGGGAAGGTGCCGCTTCTTCTGTGCATCTTCTGGAAACCTTCCCTACGAGGTCTGCATCCTCCTTTCCACGCAGGGCACAGGAGCCTGGAATGGAGGGCTCCCTGGCCCCAGTGGGACACTTAGAGCTTGCTGACAGCAGAGCCGGGGCGGGGCCAGGGAGGTCTCCAGGCTTCCCTGGTCCAGAGCCACAGAGGAGGTGGTGTCCCTCCTTCCCTGCTTCGCACCCTTCCTCTTGTCTTTTGAGCAGCCCAGGTCCTCCTCACCTTCCCAGGATGCCTATGGAGCTGCCCATCTGCCTCTGTGACTGGCCAATCATCTCCCATTCTCCAGTTGATCCATCACACACTTGTGAAGCACCCACTCTGTTTGAGGCACTGTGCTAGTCTCAGCGGGTCCCACAGTGAGTGAGGCATCCACCTTTCCTTGAGGATTTCAGTCCAGTGAAGGATACAGAGCTGCACCAGACACGTTGCCATACAACAGGGAAAGTGCCATCAGCGATAGAAATGAGAAGCTGGTGGAAGCACAAAAGGCAGCACCCCTTTCCGCCTAGAGAGCTGAGGAATACTTAAAAAAAGGGAGGGGATAAATGAGTTGGGTTCTGAAGAATGAATAGGAGTTGAGCTGACAAAGATGAGGAGGAAAGTAAAGGCTATCTCACGCAAAGAGGCCAGCTAACACCACCACTGCAGATCACTCCATGAAAGAGAATCCTGTGGCTGCCCTCAGTTTTGTCCCATCACTGCCCAGTTATTGCAGAAAATGACTTCAGCTGTCGCCATGTTAATGAGCGTTAAAGGCGCGTTGGGCGGACTCACCGTGAAGAAGTCACAGAGCGTTATGTGAGGGAAGACCTCGTGTGCTCTGTTCTTCGCGCACTGCCGCTTGCTCTCTCTCCAGAACTCTTGGAGTTTTTCCAGCAGGGACCCCGTGGGGCAGAGGAAAAGGGCGTATTCCTGGGGGATGGGGTCGTCGAGAGAAGGGTCATTGCAGTGGGAGTGCAGCCTGCAACAGAGGATGGGACATGTTCACCTGGTGTGAAGAGTCTTTCCCCAGGGAGGATGGAGCCAGGCCGTGTCTCGGACGGACAGGCCGCGCAGAGCACTGAGCTGCACGCCCGGCGAGGCTCAGCAAGTCCGCGTGCGGCCCGACCACGGAGCAGGTCGGCGTCTGGCCGGTCTCAGCGCCAGCTGGTCTGATTCCCAGGCCCGAAGACCGCGAGGAGAGGCAGGTGACAGTAAGGCTCAGAACCTGGTTTTCTAATGATCATTGGGGGCCAGGCATCTCCTTAGGGCTGAAAATTATATGGAAAAGACGGACGTTTTAATTTTATCCCAAACTTCAAATTTGTGAAGTATAAAAATCAAAGCCACAAAGACCTATATTTTCTGTCAATTTGGAAAGTTATTTTAAGTACTAGGAAAAATGATATAGAGCCCCAAATTCAAGTTCATGCTCACCAATAATAAAGAAAATGGAGACAGGCATGAGACACCACTTTTCTTATTTGTCAAATGAACAGAATGTCTTTCAGGGGGTAAAAGTACGCTCAGTCGTGTCAAAGGTGCTGAGACTTGAGGATGAATCTCTGCAGCCTTTATATGAAGCCACTTGCCCACATGTGTCAAGAGCCTTTAAACTCCCCTTCCTTCTGCACTAATAACTCCACTTCCAGACATGGGTCCAAAGGAAAAAGCAAAAGCGATAAATACAATGGCCTGCGTAGACATTTATTGTACAGTGATTTTTAATGGGAAAGAAGGAAAAACTAGATAAATAATGGTAAATTTATACATCAGGTACTCGTTAGAAATTACGGATTTGAATAGTTTCTGATGTCTCCGAGAAGTGCTTGTGACATGATATGAAATTTAGGAATCGATATACAACCACTTGAGAAAACATTCGATGTGCACAGATACCTTCTCATAGTAATAATACAAAAATGCCAGCGGAGGAAGCTGTGTCCCCTTCATCCTGGCTCCCTTCCCTGGCTCACTTGTCTAGCAGCAGCTCAGTTCATAATCCGCTTTGCTTACTACTAGACATGTAGGTAACGAATCCATACATAGCACTTGTGTGTGTTTCATATGAATCAGAAGCAGTTCTTCAAATTATTCTGCAACTTGCATTTTTTACTAAAGACATTTTTGCAGCGTATACACAGCCATCTAGTTAAGTGCGTCAGCACGAACCGTCTAAGGGCTGTAACACGTTCCACTGTCTGCATGAGTGATATTCTGTCCATCCAGGCCATTGATGGGCGTGTACATTGGTTCCCTTTTTTTTTGCAATGTCATAGCACTGTAGTCAAGACCTTTGTGCGTGTCTCTTTAGGCCCCTTGTGTTTCGCCACGGAATGTACTCAGACATGAACTGGTGGGCTGCGGCCACACACATTTTCGGGGTTGAGAGTCACCCCAGACGGCAACCTGGAAGCTGAGACCACCTTCTCCTCATCCCCACCAATGCTTAAAGCTGCCTTTCGCTGCTCCCAGCACCCTAATCTGCACCTCCCTGTTAGGAGTGAGGTTGGGGCCACTCTTGCAGAGTCCAGGGGCCCCCCGCCTCCCTGCTCCTGGTGGGCCTGCTGGTCTTTTCCACTGAGTCGTCGCTGGCAGAAACCAACCAGCACTTGTACAGCAGGGGGTTTGATTTTTAATTCAAATGTGGTAACTGACTTCAGAGTTACTCTAGCCCAGAGGGTCCTGGGTGTTTCTCTGCACAGGGGGTGCCTTTTCACCCTTGGCCTAAGCTTTTCGAGGACATGCTGGACGCTCAGAGACCAAGTGCGGGTGTTTGCCATCCTGCTCTGGGGGGGCGCCCCAGCCTGATGGGACCTGGGTGTTTTGCTTGATTTTCACTACAGCTATTCCGGGGCAGAGCACGAGGGGACTTCCCGCCAAAGGGCAGGATGATAGCATCAGGGCACACGCAGGCAGGACTGGGTTTTAGAGACGGGGTGCCCCCTTTGATTCCCAGGGCAGAAAACCGGAGCAGTGGGCGGCGGCCGAGCTGGGGGGGTGGAGCCTCCGGAACCAGCGCCCCCCCCCCGCCCCCAAGCACCTGGCACCCTTAAGGCTCAGGGGGCGTTCATGACCACCCACAAGCTCTCGCCCCATCTGAAGCGGCAACCTCCTTTTCCTAGCAGCACAAATGGCACTTCCCAATTTATTCAACAAATCACATGAATATTTTTCTTCATTGACAATCATGCCTGGGTTAAATCAGACTTTTAAGGGAAGAAAGCTTTGTTCAAAGTTCTCTCTCTTCTGTTTTCCATTTTAAATGCGGGCTCTTTGCGCCTTTCCCTGGGCGCTGGGTGGGTAGCATGGAGGTGCCACCGCCCACCCAGAGTGAGCAGCGTCCCCCCTGCGGAGCCCTCCCGGCCCCTGTGGGCACTCCACTCACCAGTCTGAGGCCTCCTCCACAGTCTTCCTTCCAGTAGCTGCCAACGCCTTTAGCCTGTAGGGAATCGGGAGACAGGGAGGTCTCAGAACCCGCCTTCTACTCCTTAGAAAAGGTCAGAGAGGCAGGGGTGTCCTTGCTACTCCCGGGACCTTCAGGAGTCCCCCATCCAGGGCTGAATGGCGAGGTCTCAGTGGGGGATGCAGGCCTCTGCCCTCGTGGCATCACTGTGGTTTTGGAAATGCAGACGGCTTGCATCTTCCCCATCATTTTCCTTCCCTGGCTCCCACCCCCTGTCCCTGGCCGGAAGTCCAAGGACTCATGCCTGAGGGGCAGCCATGCCAGAATCCGGCCTCCCCAGCCCTACCCCATGCACCCTGCTCCCCAGCCAGGTGCTCCCACTCTCGGACCCTCCAGTTGGCTGTGCAGAGTCACGTCCCTGGCTCTCACACCTGCCTCCTTGCCAAGATGCAGCGCGGTGCTGACGTGCCCTGAGAGGAACGACACTGGGCCTTCCAGGCTCCGCTCAGAAGTCTTCCTCTTCCAGGAAGTCTTCCCCAGACCATCCAAGCAGGGTGGATGTGCAGCCCTCCTGTGTTTCCCCACTGCACATGTGGTCACCGGCCCCTCATCTCATTGGACTTGTGTCCGCCTGCCTGCCTGTGTGTTCCCTGGGAGTAACCGTGTCTTCCTCATTGTTGAAACTGGCGTGTAAGTATGCTGCATTGAGTTTACCTGAAGGGGACCACACCAGACAGAATGCAGTGTGGCAAAGGGAATCCATCCAGGAACTCAGCCTGGAGGTAGCCGGGGTGTCAAGGAGGCATGGTGCCCGGCGACGCTGGTTTGGAGGGTACAGGCCCCGGGGTGAGGCTTCCCGAGTGGTTAGCAGGGGCCCTACCCGGGCTTCAGCCTCAGGAAGACGTTAAAGACACGCTCCTCCACCTCTGACACATGGCTAACGCTTACAGCGGAAGGAATTTTGAGTCTGCTTCCAGCGGTAGCTTTGGTCATGTAGTCCTAAGGCTTTCCAGTCCCCGGGAGTGGGATGCCTGCCCTGCCCTCCCACCACCCGCCCTCCCTGGCCTCTGGCCCCGTCTGCCTCTGATGGGTGGTGTCGGCACCCGGCAGGCACCCAGCAGGCACCCGGCACACGCTTGGTTCTGCTGCCATCGCACAGACCCCCGTTTACCACGATATGTGCGATGAAGAGGTCCCGACGGGTTGGGGAGGAAAGTGGTCCAGTCATTCCATCCAGTTGGGTCACAGGTTTGTTATCCATTAAAGGAAAGTTTGCCCCCACCCAAATCCAAGGTTACCAAGAGACTTCAGATGCACTTCCCATGCGAATAAGCACGTGGAAAGGGCAGGTCTAAGAACCTGGTTCCCTGTGGAAGCCGCAACCTGATGTTGGCCTCCTTGTTTTGTGGTACCCGCCTCTCCGAGGGGGTACTCCTGAGACTGCAGTCCGCGTGGCCCTTCTCCTTGGGTGAGAAGGATCGCACCAGCCCTGCTGGGGGAGTCCTGTGACCATATCCCTTCATGACCAGGCATTAAGAGATCCCCCTGAGGACGGACAGTTTCCCTGCACATTTAGAAACGCGGTCTTGTTTATTTCAACAGGTCTCAGCATCAGAGACCCCCCGACTTCGGGGCTTTCAAATTAGAGTGAAACGCTGTCTCAGAGTCACTGGGCTGCTCGCAGAGAGGGTACAGCCAGGCCCTAAGCTCCTCTAAACCCTAGTTCCAATTTTCACAAATTTCAGGGTCCCCCACCCCTGTCACCAGCCAGCAGAGTTTGTCGTTAAAAGGCAAAGATGGTGTCGTTTATGGAAGCAGAAAAGACCTTATTTTGAGATAGTCTCTAGCCCGCACGGTTCACCCCTTCCACAGGAAGTACGTGCTCTGAGCCCCTGCAGTTCTGCGGCCACAGAAGGGTGGGCTCCGGGCCCCGGGCACGAGCCCAGGGAGTGGTACTCACGCGGTGTGCGCCGGGAAGCCCATCCCCAGGAGGGGCTCCAGGAGCGAGGGGACGCTGCGGCCCCGGAGCTTGTTGAAAACCTTCGCGTAGAGCTGAGTCTCCCCTGCGGCCATCTCTTCCTGCTTCAGACTGAACAGAGCAGATAAAGCCGGAGAGGGGGAGGCAGGAGAGGCTGAGGCTGAGAAGAAAAACCTCAAGCCCTTTTTGATCTTTCTGACAAAAGCTAATATCCTGTTTGCATGAGATTCTGGCTTTCAGAATTCTCTCTGCAGAGCGCAGGTGTCGGGTCCACCAACGCCGCTTCCACAGTGGGGCTTGGGGTCCAGAGGTCCAGCTGAGTCCCTGCAGGGCCTGCATGGGGTCGGCCTTTGCACGGACTTGAGATGCCAGGTCTGGCTCAGAAGGAGGGGGCAGGGCAGGGGAGTGGAAGCCCAGGTAGGGTTCTCCGCTGGGTCCCACTGGCCTCAGAACCCCGAGCCACCTGGGTCCTAGTCTCCTTTCCTGCAGAAGACATTAAATCACACTGTGTCTATTGTCTCTGCTAACTCTAAAATTTTTGGCTCTTTTAATTATTCATTGACTTTTTAAAAATTTTTAAACTTTTAAAGTTTAATATGCATTCAGAAAAGCTGACAACTCCTATGTTTGGGGCTCGACGCATTCTCATAAAGTGGGCACACACACCTAATTCCTCCGGAACCAGAATAAAACAGGTCCTCAAGTAGGGGGATTTTGCCCCTCCCCAGGGGCCATTGGCCACGTCTGGAGACAGTTTTGGTTGTCACAGCTGGACGTGGGGGTGTTTACTACCAGCACTTAGCGGGCTGAGGACAAGAACACTGTAGTGCACACGACAGCCGAGAGGGATCCGCCCAAGACGTCAGCAGCGCCAAGGTTGAGCAGCTCTGTCCTGGAACATCCCCAGAACCTCAGGACCGCCCCTGTCACCCCAGCCCCTCGCCCAGCCTCCTGGTCTTTTCTCCTCCCTCCCTGCAAAAATGGCAGCCGCTGCGCTCCCTTGCATATTAATTCTGCCCATCTTTAAACTTGACATAAGCAGAGCAATATGGGGCTGTCCTCCTTCATGTCTGGTTTCTTTTGCCCAAAATTATATGTGAATTTTTTTTAATGGAGGTGCTGTGAATTGAACCCAGGACCCCGTGCACGTAAAGCACGCACTGCACCTCTGAGCTGTCCCCTCGCCCCACGTGTGTGAAATCTACCCACATCACTGCCTGTCGCCACAGTTAGCTCACTGGATTGCTGGGTTGTATTTCATCAGGTAAATCAGCATCATTTACTTCTCCGGTTCTCGGCTGACGTGCATTTGGGTGGTTTTCAGTTGTTTCGTTGTAGCAGGCAGTCTTGTATGTGTCTTTGAAGGCCAGATGTGAGCATTGCTGTTTGGTACCCATCTGGGGGTGAGGTAGTTGGGTCATGGGACAGACACGTGCATTCTTTGTGAGCAACTGCCAAGAGATTTTACAAAGCAGTGGTACCAACTCCGCATCTCACCCTTGGTGGAGGAGAGCGCCTGCTGCTCTGCATTCTTGCCCACACTTGATACTATCAGTCTTTTAGTTTCAGCCAGCCTTTGGGTGTGTCACGGTATCTCACGGCGGTTCCGATCTGCATTTCCCCCAGCGGCAATGACACTGAGCACCATGGGACGGGCTGTTGGCCATTGGAATATTCTCTTTGCGGAAAGGGCTGTTCTGGTTGTCTGCCATTGTTAAGTTGGGTTCTTTGATTTTTCTTATCAGTCTGTGGAACCTCTGAAGATGAGTGTTTTGTTGGACGTCTTTAAAGGTGGTGACTTATTCCAGGCTGTGGTTTGCTTTTTTGAATTGCTTGTTAATATCTCTGGGTGAAGTACAGTTTCTTAATTTGAATAAAAATTAACTTATCAGTCTTTTCTTTCATGGTTGGAACCTTCTGCATCCTGTTCAAGAAGTCGTTGTTAACTGGCATGGATGAAGGCAGTCTCCTAGGGTTTCTTCTTGGAGCTTTACACGTTCACCGCTCCTATTTAGCTGTACGATCCGTTTGAACTAACTCTGTGTGGCGGGAAGTAGGGGTGAAAGTCCATCCACTTCCCTGTACTTCGTTCATCGAAAAGCGAATTGCAGAAGAGCATTTATTATAAAGCAGTTGACCGTACATGTATTGTCTGTTTCTAGTCTGTTATGTTTTCTTGTTTGGTTCTCTTTTTCCATTTGTCCATTTTTATATCTACACTACACTGCTCTAACTGTTAGAGTGCTAAGCCCTCTGATTTTATCTGCCTCAAGATTGTCCTGCTCCTCTAGGCCCTTTGATTTTTCATATAAATTTAAAAATCAGGTTGCCACAGTGTGACATTGGAGAGTGCAGGAAGACTGATTCTCAGCCAAGGGGCCAATGCAGTTCACACGAGGGAGGATAACATTTTCAACAAATAGTGCTGGAGCGCTGTGTATGGATGTGGGAAAAGTGTGACCCTCAACCCTTCCTTCACATCATTCACAAAAATTAACTCAAAATGTATGATATGGGCATGAGCTAAAACTGTAAATTTTCTAAAAGAAGAACTCTTTGCTCTGTTGGAGTTTGCAAAGCTTCCATAGGACATAAAAAGCATGAATCGTACCAGAAGAAAACTGATAAATTGAACTTCATCAAAACTGGAAACATCTGCTCTCTGAAAGACACTATAAAGAAAATAAAAAGGCCAAGCACAGGAGAAAATATCATCATGTGTACATCTGACAAAGGACTTACATCCAGAATGTAATTATGTATGTGTCTATCTGTACGTGTATATTCTTATAATGAATAATAGGAAAAAACAATGCAGCTTAAAAATAGGCAAAAGATCTAAATGGCACTTAACAAAAGAAGAGACATGAATGGCTAATGAAGATGTGAAAAGATATTCAATATATTAGTCATCAGGGAAATGTAAATTAAAACCGCAATATGATACCACAACACACTTGCTAGAAGAGCTAAAATTGAAAAGACTGAAATACCAAGTTTTGACATAGCTGTGGAATAACTGGGACTCTCATACGTTGTTGGTGGGAATGCAAAATTGTCTAAACATTTTGGAAAACATCTTGACAGTTTCCTATTGAGTTAAACATACATTTGCTACACGACCAATCTGCTCTTAGCAATTTACCAGGGAGAAAAGAAGAGGTAAGTCCACACTAAAGCTTGTATATGCATGTCCATGGTGGCTTTTATTCACAGGAGAAGACTCAAACTGGAGAGAATCCAGATGTCAATCAACTGGTGAATGGATACACAAATGTTGGGATAACACGTACCACTAATAAGAAACACATTGCAGATTGATGCAGCAGCATGGATGAATTTAAAAGAACATTATGCTGGCTGAAAGAAGCCACAGATGAAGTCATGCATATTATATGATTTTATTTAAATGAAAAATTTAAAAAGCTAGAACTAATTTATAGAAACAGAAAGCAGACAAATGGTTGACCCAGGCTGGGGTATGAAGGGGTTTGGGGGATGACAGAAATGTTCTATGTCCTGATTTGGTGGTGACTATATGGCTGTATAGATTTTCAAGACTGATTAAACTAAACACAGTGCATTTTATAGTGTGTAAACTAACCTCAATAAAATTGATCTTTGAAAAGGAAAGGGAAAGAATCCAAAGGACAACAAAAACAATATGCTAATTTCCACCAAAAAAAGCCCTGTTGGAAATTTTTTTGGGATTATGTGAATCTGTGGATCAATTTTACAATATTAGGTTTTCCATTCCATGAATATGGTATATCTCTCTATGTATTTAATTTCCTGTGGTAATGTTTTGTAGTTTTCAGCATCTGGTTCTTCTGTCACTAAGTTTATTCCTACATGTTGTGTGTTTTTGATGCTATTGTTTAAAAATAATTTCTGTTTCCATTTCCTTGCTGCCAGTGTGGAGAAATACAACTGATTTTTATGTATTGACATCACATGCAATAATCTGGCCAAGATTACTTGTTAATTCTAATATTTTGTAGATTCTTCTGGATTTTCTATGTACACAATTATGTAACCTTCAAATAGTGACAGTTTCCCCCTCACTTTCTAACATTTATAAACTTTATCTCACCTTCTTGCCATATTGCCTGGCAAAGACCTCCAGGACCATGTTGAATAAAAGCGGTTTTTTGGTAGATACTCTTTATCAAATAAGAGAAATTCTTTTTCATTCCTAGCTTACTGAAGTGTTTTAAAATTTCATTAATGGATATTAAATTTTATCAAATGCTCTTTCTGCATCTATTGAGGTGATCATACCTCTTTTATTCAATGAATGAGGTAATTGACCAACTGATTTTTGAATGTTAAACCAACCTTGTTTTCCAAAGATGAAACCTCCTTGGTCTTAATATGTTGTTTTTTTTTTTCAATATGCTGCTGGAACCAATTTGCTAATGCTTTGTTTCAAATTTTTGCATCAATGTTTGTAAATTAGCCTGTTGTTTTCCTTTCTTGTAATTTCCTTGTCAGATTTGTTATCAGTAGAGTGACCAGTACCTGTGACTTCCTTGGTCTTAGCACTGAAAGTTCCCGTCCCAGGAAAACCCCCTCAGTCCCAGGGAAACAAGGACCGTTGGTCTCCCGAAGTGTCAACATTATTCTGGCCTCATAAATGACTTGGGAAGTATTATCTCTTTCTAAATTCTCCAAGTTTTTGTTAAGGCTGGTGTAATCTCTTTCTTAAGTGTTTAAAAAGATTTATCAATGAAGTCTTCTGGGCCTCGAATTTTCCTTGTAGAGTTTTTGACTATGGATTTAATTTATTTAACAGGTATAGGAGTATTTTACTTTTATCTATTTTATTAAATTGTTTTTCAAGGAATCTGACAACTTTACGTAGGTTGTCAGATTTCTTGGCATAGAGTTACCAGGGCTTCTTTATTTTCTTCCAGTTCTGTTACACAGTTTTCTGTGTCCAGGTCAGGTTGTTGATCTTAAAAATGAAAGTCAGGTTTTTTTACCAGCAAAAATGGATTTATTCGAGAATAGTAGAGAATTGCAATTTAGGACAAGCAAGGCGTGGCAAAAACCACAGGCAAGTCCAACAAACAAAGGAGAGGAATATTCTTTTTCTATAGCATAAAGTGGGGAAGTCGGGAGGGCTTGTTTTGGACTCAGTCCATGGGGAAAAGTGAGAGTTTAGGGTGATGATGGTTTCTCACTGGCTGAGTGACTGTGGTGTCAGTTTCTCGTAGGAGCTGCAATGTGCATCTTTTCCTGTTGGGGCCCACTGGGGCCCATTGTGATCTTTCCTTTTAATGATTCTTCGGTTTGGGTCTGTAATTGACCAGTCTTCCTGTAATGACATTTACCTGTGCGTCTGTGAGAGCTCCCCCTTCTGGCCTCCCAGCTGCATTTTAGTGAGGCTCCCCTCTTCAGTTTGACGTTGTGCAGTGTTGATGAGATTATTCTTAGATATTTGATTATGATTCATGCACTGTAAGTTACATCTTTTTAAAATGTCATGTTCCTACTCTCTGTTATTTGCATATCAAAATACTGTTGATTTCACATTATTTTGCATTTCACTTATATCCACAAGTTTTATGTGAATTACTAATTCTAATGTTTATCTTTAGAATTTTAAAGATACTTTATGTTCAAAAATAATTTTGTCTAACAATAATAATAGCTTTATTTCTTTTTTTAGCAGTACATATTCTTTTCTTTTAAAAATTCTCCCTTCCTTCCTTCCATTCTTCCATTCTTTTTTCGTTCTTTCCTTCACCTTTTTTCCTTTTCATTTTTTTTCTTTCTTTTTCCTTCTCCCCTCCTCCTCCTTCCAGTTTTATTGCACTGGCTTGAGCTGCAAATACTGAATCGTCTGGTATATGTCCATACAGCGTGTCTCCTTATGTTGCTCCCCATCTCAGAGGGAAAGCTTTCAATATCTCACCTTTAAATGTGAAATGTAGAAATTATATTTTAAAATAATGTCCTTTTCCTTTGAGTTCAAAAGATGAAATAATTTTATAATCAGATAAATTATAGAGCTTAAATGTGAAAGTCTGAGAGTAGACAAAAGGAAAAAAGTAGATTTGGGGTCTGAAATACAGCCTCTACTCAAACATATTTTTCTCTCGTAATAGTAAACCACTTTTTGAGCAATTGTACTTCTATAAAAATGTAAATTTCTTTTTAAAAAAAATCTTATTTGCGTAAACCAGGAAATGCCCTAACTAAATTCCTTTTTTCTTGGCTTGCAAAGTTACCTTCCAAGGCCAACAGTGAAAAGACTAAAGCTTCCTAATTGACAGTTTCTACTGTGATTGACCCCCAAAGCCTCCCCTCACTCCCTAAAGGAGTCAAGGTGGAGACACCTGTAGCTCACACCTGTAGCTCAAGCTGTGCACACAGGGTCACTAAGGCTTCCCAGCTCCTAGGGGAGCCCTCAGGTAGGATGACCCTCTCCTACCTCCAGACAAAGACCTCCTAAGACACCAGCGTGGTAAATATCAGATGCCAGCCCTAAGTATGCTGAGTTCTGCTTCCTTAAGATTTCATTTTGAGCTTGATGGAATTGATTTGTAAGCAACCTTTCTGAGAGGCTACTTCATGGCGACAGAAGTCAGCTACCTGCAGGGGTTTCTTCCGAACACCTCCTGGGGAATTGGCTCGATCTTTGACCTCATCTGGCACACATGCCAACACGTAACACATGTCAGTATGACCTTGTGATTGCTTTTGGTAGTCCGCATGTCTGCTCAGTAGCGTTCGTCCACCTTGGTTCACAATCGGCTCCTATATGTGGCGCGCACAGCGCACTCATCACCGTGCCTGATACCCTAAGAGTCCATTCTAGACTCTGCCCTCCGAGAGCTGTGCTCTTGTCGGGAGGCCCACCCACAACAAGCAGGTGAAAGCAAATAAAGCATTAAGTTCCAAGTTTCCTGTCACCGTCTTTGAGAGCAAATATTCCTTCAGGGACTGGAGAGGGTAGTTAGGAAAGGTGCAAAGGAGGGATGTACGAGCTTGAAGGTTAGCTGGTGCTAAATCCCAAAGACACTGAGAGATGTGTGGGCACGTGCTGGGAGGCGGGGAAACAAGACTGAAGTAAACCACGACTGGCTGAATGTATATCTTTGGCTATTGTTGCTGCAAATGAAAAATACTGCAGCCGTATCAGTAAACAAGGGATGCTGTGGCCATCAAGTCATCAGCCGGTACCGACATCCCTGAAGGTGAGCCAGAGGGAATGCAGGGTGGGGACAAGCAGAGAGCCCGGCCTCTGCAGCCACCCCCACCGTGCACCCTGAGGGAACTCAGGACGCGGCCCCGGGCAGCTAAGGAGCGGTTTCAATGAGCTCAGGCCTTGGCACCCTCCCATACCTAGAAAAGCGCTAAATTCCTTAACTTGAGATATTTGGTTTTCTTCAATTAACAGTGATCTTTGGATGTTCTGACTACCTGGTCTTTCTGGCAAAGCTCCTATGTATCCTGGCTCCTCCCCTGCCTCTTTGGAGCCGTCCCTCAGAGCGAGCTGAGAGGCCACCCGCCTGGGCTGGAGTCCTCGGAAAGCACCGAACAAAGCATATTCTCAGCGTCTCGGTTGTGTAATTTTTCAGTCGACATCGCCATTGGTGAATCCCACCAACACCTCGCTCTGCAGCAGTCCCCATCGCAGCCCTCGATCTCCACCTGCAGCGCTAGCCCCCGGTCCAGGTCACAGCCGCGGGGCCCGGGTTCCCAGCAGCCTCCTCCAGGCTCTCTGTGCACCCCCACTTCGCCCATCTTGCTGCACACACATAGGTGAGTCCCGACCACGCCTCTCGGCACCTCCGTGCCTTTCCCTCACGTGCAAACCAAACCAGAGTCCTTCCAGGGGCCCGGCCCTCTGCGATCCACCCATCAGCCTGCTGCCGCAAAACTGGCCTCTGTGCCTCAAAAGATGGCCTGAGACTCGGAGGCAGAGTTTGGGGAGAGTCAGAAAAGAAGAGCCTACTGCTTTGCCAGGCGAAGTGGAGTTGCAGCAGGCTAATGATGCCTTCGACGCTGAGACTCCGTCCTGGTGTTGGGGGCTTGAGGTTTTATAGAAAAACTGGGTAGAACAGAGAGGGGCTAACGATCAGGGCGTTTTACAGGGCGCTGCACTCCTCCCAGCGCCAGCGAACCCTCCCGGTGCCGCGGAGGGACTCCGGAGGGCCCCCCACCCCTCTGAGGTCACCAGCCTGTCATCTCCCCCCGGAGCACAGCCCCAGGGCCAAAGCAGCTCTCAATGAAGAATGCACAGGAAGGGGGTGTGCAACGGAAAAGCCTGGGGGCTGTTCGGCATCAAAGCAGGGAGGGAGGAAAAGCAAGCGCAGGGCCTCTTGGTCAGAGCCAGTCAGCCAACTTCTCTAGCACTGGGGGGGTGGTCAGCCTCCCAGCCTGGTCCCCACTCCCTCAAGCCTCGCCAGGCACATAAGCTTTCTTGACTTTCTCAAATACCACCAGCTCATTGTTTCCCTCTGGGCCTTTGACGTGATGGTCTGATGCTTGGAGCAACCCTCCCCTCCTCGGCTCACAAGACCCATTTTACCCCATCATCGAGGTCTTGACTGAAACGTCACTTCTTCCTCCACCAGCCTGTGTCATCACTCCCTAAGCCTCGCCCAGCCTCATCTCTTCCTAGGGTTTGTCACCCTCTGAGGCCACAGGCGAGTGCTTTGTCCCCGCTGCCATCCACTCTGAATCTGGATGCCTGGTTCCCAGCAGATGGCCCATAAATATTTGCTGAACAAAGAATGCACGATTCTCATCTCGCTCCCATTCATGCCGCCCTTCCAAAGGGGCGCTCAGCCCCCTCGCCCGTCGCGGCAGGGCTGTGTTCTCTCCTGATAGCACACCTTTAAGCCGCATTGTGTGTGGAAACCTCTTGGGATGCAGAGGCCCCTGCGGGACGGAGGGCGAAGTGTCCCTTAGATCACTGGCTGCAGGTTCCCCATCCTTTGTCTGCAGAGTGGCTGCGGGTCTCACCCTGGGCCTGGGTTAGAGGGGTGGAGACCCCCACCCAAGCATCGCCTGCCCCCTGGGTGAGCTGACGTGTTCTTTTAGGTAAGAGGAGTGCCTGTGTTCCAAAGCCTCCCTTAGGTGAAGTTTCTGAAAAGGTCTGCTTACCGTACGTAAGTAAGGTAAAGTAATTAAGGTAAAGGCAGCCACACTTTCCCCTCCAGGTCCCTGCAGCCCTACCAGCGCCGGCCACTTGATAGCTCCCTCCAGGTTGGGTTACACAGAGGCCCGCGGCACTGCCGGCCGCTGCGATGATCCAGCCGACAAGGCTGAGTGACTTGGTGGAAATATTTCCCGCTTGGACTAACCGGCTGGCGGCCTGTTTTCCATCACGCCTTCTTTTATAATGAAAAAGGAGACTGCTTCTGCTTTCGGTGATGGCTGCTCTGGAAATGGTGAGTCTAGTGGGTGGTGGGGGCGGGGGTGGGGGGCAGAAGACGCTTCTAGGAGGTGGCTTTCCAGCAGTTCTCCGTGTTGTGAGGCCTCCCGACGCGGCCGGGTGGAAGGGGCTTCCTGACGCAGATTCCACTTTGCAGAAACCCTTTGGCCATTGACTTTCATTCTTGTTCTGAAGTTAGGCTGTGGAATTTGCTACCTGCTGCTAGTAAGTGGCAACCGCCAGCAAAGTGAAAACTGGTGAATGTGATTTTATTGGTCTTAAGATACTCTGCGAAGCTACTCTTGGGATGAAAATGAAATACATATTTTTAGTGCATAACTGCTGCATAAACAGACCTTGTCGTAGGAAAATCTAAGCAGACAGAGTTTAAGTGGAGGAACAGTTCCCTTTTGAATTTCAAACATTACGAATAAACAAAAAGAAAATAAAGATGGTTGAGCTAAGCGCCTACGCTCACACGGCTGTTGGAACCTCTCAGTTGCAGCGCTGGCGGGAGCAGGTCCGGGAGGGCTGGTGCCTGACTCCGTGGAGGGTGGGCTGGAATCTAGTTGGGAACATGCAGCCCTTTCCTTGCTCCCTCCGCCTCCCTTCGAGTGACTGGAAATGCCTCTCTGGCACTGAGGTGGGTGGAGTTCTCTTGGAGGAAGCAAGCCCGCTGTCCCCAGCCACTCCTCCTTCTGCATGGCAAGGGGGGCAGGGGCTGGGCACCCAGAGGGCAGGGATACTTTCATCCTTAACTAGGTCAACCCTGTGCGAGCCTGGAAAGGGTTGTGCTTACGGGAAGCTACAAGCACTGTGGGTGGAAGTCCCCTCCCTGGTGCCGCCTGCAGGTGGGGGCGCGGACACTACTTTCCTGGTAGGTGCTTGCCCGGTGCCTGCGAAGGGTGGGGTTTATGTGGGACCAAGAGCCGTGGTGAAAGAGAAGGAAAGCGTTTGAAAGTAATTTATCTTCTGAAAAATAATGGTACGCTAACTTCTAAAGGTAAAAAGGCCTGTCTCTAAAGATACGCTGTTCAATTGATTTGAGGTTGGTTGAACAAATAATGGGAAAGTCATGTTTGGGGCAGGACTCCGTTCGCATCTTTTCGCTCACTTCAGAAGTGTCTCTCTTATCTGCTGTAGCTCGGGAAAAACAAAATGCATTCTCCCTGGACAAATGGCTTTGATTTATTGGCAGTGAACAAGCTTCTTGTGGATAGTCAGATTTCAAAGATTTAACACGACAAAGATTCGTTTGATGCTAAAGCTATAAATAAGGACTTGATGCTTTCTGCTCTTCCCGTGAAGGAGGTGGAGGTGGAGGCGGAGCCTGGTCTCAGAGGTCCTGAAATAGTCACCATGGGGGAAAACGACCCGCCGGCTGCCGAGGCCCCCTTCTCCTTCAGATCGCTTTTCGGACTTGATGATTTGAAAATAAGTCCTGTTGCACCAGGTAGGTGGGCGCACGGGTGTGCTCACTGCAGTCCCCTCCCCCCCAATACACATGCCCAACGTGGCTGAGTGTCCCCTGGGGAAATGCCTCGCCGGGCGACCTCGCACCCACTGGCTGACACACACGCTCCCTTGGGCTTGCGGAATCCTGGCGAGACGGGGCGTTAGAGAGGCCATCACTTTGTTCAGCCCCTGGCCAGCTCTCTGGAGACAGGTGTCAGCCTTCTCTGGATGGAGCTTCTCTGAAAGTGACCCTCCCACTGCCCCTTAGGGGTTAGGAAGTTAGGGGCCAGGTCCTGGCCAGGAAATCTCTGAGCCCCCCAGGAAGTTCTGAGAACCCGTGGTCACCAGCCCTTCCAGAAAACTGAGAATAAGCTGGGTGTCTCTGAAGGTATCGGATGCCTAGATTAAAATTCAACCACAGGTGACAGAGGTGCTCCTAGCAACTAAAGGAAGGAAAGTTGGTTTTGGAAATGGGTCATAAATGCTTGGAGAAATAGCGGATACCTTAATGCCTGGATAGGATCTTTTTGCCAAAAAACTATCAGGACTTGTCACCGGAAGATGTGGCTCCCTGGTCCGGATACAGCCAGGAACACTGACCCCAGGGGCTGGGAAGACGGACCCCTGGGGGCTCTGGTTGAGGTTCCAGAAAGCATGGAGTGGGACCTGTCCTAACGATTCCCTTTAAACCACCTGGACAGCTGACGTGGACGAGGCGGAGAGGATGGGAGGAGAAGCAGAGGCTTCCATAAAAGAAAAGAGCCACTATTTAAAAAATACTTCTCAAAAATCAGCATCAGCATAAATGAAAGAAAAAAAATACCCTGCAATGAACTGACCACCAAAACCTACCTGGTCTTTATGTTTTCTTTGTCCCTTTCCCGTGAGTCTGAACGCCTGTTAAGTGTGAACTCACGCACAGAGCAGATGCAGGCAGGCGATTCCCCACAGGTTTGGGGGCTGTATAAATGCCTTTTTCATGGGATGAGAGCATTCCATCGACCGGATGTGTAACTTACACAGCCATTCTGTCATTATTGACATATACTTGCTCCTAATGTTTCATGATATAAATAGCACAATATACATTTTTCTCTGCTGATTTTTGATCATTTCTTCATGATTGACTCCTAGTAGTGGGAAGGAATAAAAACTTTCTAAAGCTTTTCTTTTAAATGAAGCAATGCATTGTTCATTATAGAAACTTAGAAAATCGAGTTACTCGGAAAGGCTTTTTAATGTCCCACAATTTTACTTCTGTTCAGAAACAGCTCTAGTGGCGCTTTATTACAGGGTTTCGGGCCTTTTTCCTATCAAAATATCTTTTTACAAGTGCGTTAAAAATTTATTTTTCCCTTAACAGAGGCACTGGGGATTGAACCCCGGATCTCACGCATGCCGCCAGGCAGGGCTCTACCGCTGAGCTATACCCCCCACCCCCCAACACATCCACGTTTCCCTTTGGAAGTGACACATACAGGCAGGCCCTGGAGATACTGTGGGTTCGATCCCAGACCACTGCGATAAAGCAGTATTGCAATAAAGTGAGTCTACCTGACTTTCTGGTTTCGCAGTGCAGGTAAAAGTTATGTGAACACTGTAGCCTATTCACCGTGCAATAGCATTACGTCTAAAAAACCATGCACGTAGGCCTTGACTTAAAAATTAGTTTTAACGTTGTTAAACAATTAATGTCGTTGCTAAAACCTGTTAGCTGTCATCTGACAGCGCACCGTTGCCATAAGCCTTTGGTTCTCAGCGACGACAGTATCTGTGAAGCGCTTCAGGTCGGGCTCTGCCTGTGCTGTGCAGAGTCTTAAGCTTTTTAAAAAAATCTTTAAAATATTGTGCTCATCTTTCCATGGCATTAAATAATTAAATTGTCTTTAAGGGTTGGCAAACTATAGCCCCGGGGCCAAACCTGGCCCACCGCTTGTTTTTATAAATGAAGTTTTGCTGGGACACGGACCCATCCATTTACGCGCACTGTGGCCGGCTGCCTTCACGCCAGAGCGGCTGGGTGGAGTGGTTGTGACCGAGACCGCGTACGGACCGTGAAGCTCAAAACATTTACTATCAGGTCCTTTAGAGGAAAAGTTTGCTGGCCCCTCTGTCATTTAGGTGTCTGTAACTTTGTTATTTCACCAGCCCTCTTTTCACTGGCCATTTAGGCTGTTCCCATGTGTCCGTGTATCAATGTTACAAATGCCACTCTTTCCTCCTTTACGTATCCTTGTACATAGAGATTTGTGTGCATCTGTGATGGCTTTTTAGGATAAATTCCTAGAAAGGGAATTAATAGGTCAAAAATTCTGTCCATTTTTGAGCGTCTTGGGACATATTTCCAATTTGACTCTCAAAAATTTACACAATCTATAATCCTATTGACTGTTAAGTGTGATCCATTTCCTTTCACTTTGAACTTCAGTGGGAAAAATTAACAGTAATAATAATTCATTGCAAAGTTGATATTATACCTAATTTGCCTTTTTCCTATTTCCAGAGAGGTTCAGTGTCTTCCTGTGCTTGCTTAGCATTTGCTTTCCTTCTTTGGAGAGATGCCTTTTGCTTTTCATTGCAGGCGCCCTCAAAGACAGGGCGAGGAGGGGGTGGGGCCATGGTGGGACACATGGAATGCGGTGGAGGAGCCACAAAGGGGCAAATGGGAACAGATACAAAGGTTCTAATTGAACAGCATTCTTTGGGTCTACAACTTGGGCTCATTTCTTAAATCTCACTCCTAGATACAGAAAACTAGAGTCGTTCTGGGGCTCCTGCTGAGTTTTAAAGTGTGAATGGAGCGTGGGCACCTCCAGAGGGAAGGTGACTAATTTAGTGTGGGCTCCTGGGGCTGGGGGAAGTGGAGAGGAGGTCAGTGAATTGGTCATCCTGAAAGGAATTGGTCTCTGGCCCTGGGATAAAGTCACCTTCATGAGCATGAAGCCATCCATCTGTCTGCCCGCCCATCTATCCATCCATCCACCCATCCATCCAAACACCCACCCACCCATCCACACACCCACGCACCCATCCATCCATCCATCCGACTGTCCGTTTTACTAATGTTCATCAAGGACCGTGGCTTGGCGGGCGGTGCTGTTCTAGGTGCTGAGGACACAGGCTCGCAGGAACCACCAGCTCCTCCATCTGGACCTGAGACAAGTGCCCTGCGGATTGCACGTCCTCTGCTCTGCTCCAAGCGTGGGGTGCATCTCCTGGTCCCTTGTTCTTCCCTCTCTCCACAGGCTCTTTCCTTCTTTACTCTTTCCTCCTTTTCCTCCCATTTCATCACTTTCCCCCCATTTTTGTCTTCCAATTCTCTTCTTCTTAGACAACCTTGAATGGCATTGACCATTTCACAATCACAGTCTTTACTGGCAGTGAGTAGAGCCGTGGGTTTCCAAGGACAGGCAGTGGGACATCTTTTCTGCTCTTCCATGGAACAGCTCTGGGCTCTGCATCTCCAGGAGCAGGAGAAGAGAGGGTGGGGCAGTCTCTGTCCTGAGAAATCGTGTGCTGCCTGGAAGCCTTCCCCCCCATCCCGCATTCCAACTCTCCTAATTTTAAGTGAACACAACTTCAGCATAGATGCATTTTTGAGATTGATGAGACAATTTGCATGAAATGGCCTGTTCTCCTGAAGGTAAATTCTCCTGTTGCCCAGAGAGGCTTATACTTTTGGATAGAAGCCTTCTCTTCTACCAAATCGGCCTGGTCCTGCAGGCAAGAACTAGGAAGAGTCTGGGGACTCTTGAAACAGGGTTTCACCCTGTTTGCAAGCTAACAAGTCTACCTGCCAAGCCCCAGGGATGCTGGCAGAAGACTCAGCGCCCCGTCCCAGGTCAGCCACATGTGCACACAGGTGCTACGTGCATCTTGTTTGAGTCAGTTACGATTGGCCGCCAGGTCCCATGGGGGTGATGGGGAGCAGCCCAGGAGCAGGTGGCACCAAGGGTGTGTCTGCGTCACAGCTGAGGAACCCAGAGCTGAGGGGACCCACATCTTTTTGAATGGGCTTTGAACAGACCTGCCCAAGCTTTGCCCCAAAAGAAGATAATTATATTTATCAAGCCAGACAGTAAATAACCTGCCCCTTGCTCTGGAGAGAGACACTGTCTTCTAAGGCTGTTTGCTCTGCCAGCTTCCTCTAAGACATGGGCTGGAGCAAAGGCCGTTGGTGTCTGTGCCCAGAACTGGTGGAGAATGATCTGCATGTCATGCAGTGGTCCTCTCAGAGGTCCCAGCTCTCCCTCTCCTGAAAGCACCTGCTTGGATTTTGTGTGTCTCCCTCCTCTGCAGGACAACGTCCTTGGAAGCTGAGGTTCTGCTTGCTCTCTGTGTTAGTTTCCCAGGGCCACCGACACACCACAAACTTGGTGTTAAAGCAGCAGAAATGTATCGGCTCCCCATCTGGAGGCCAGAGCTCTGAAACCAAGGTGACGACAGGGCCACACTGCCTCTGATCCCTGCAGGGACGTCCTGCCTTGCCTCTTCTTACATTCTGGGGGTCTGCCAATGACCAAGTGGTCCTTGACTTATAGATGAGCCACGCCAGTCTCTACCTTCATCCCCACATGGCGTCCTGCCCATGTCTTCCTAGCATCTTCCCTCTGTGCGTGTCTGTGTCCAAATGTCCCCTTTTTGTAAGGACACCAGTCATGTTAGATCAAAGGCTACACAGATGACCTCATTTTAGCTTGATTGTCACTGTAAAGACTCTACGCCCAAATAAGATGATATCCCGAGTCCCGAGGGCTTGAACGTCAGCGTACCTTTCGGGAGGGACACAGTGCAACCCACCACGCCATCCCTTACCTGAGGACGGAGTGAGTGGGCTGGGGTTGGATGGTGTGGGACCTGCTTTCAGAGAACGTGCCCCCAGGTCGGTGCCCTTTCTCCAAGTCGGCTTGCTTTGGGCTAGAGCATTCTCTGCACGGACAGGAGGGGGGATCAACTGCTCAGGTTTAAGCTGCATTTCATTCCAATTTGCTGCTCTGTGGCATTTTGAGACTCCCCCACTTTTTTGGTTTCCAGATGCCGATGCGGTGGCTGCCCAGATCCTGTCTCTGCTGCCACTGAAGTTCTTCCCCGTCATTGTCATCGGGACAGTTGCGTTGATAGTGGCACTGGCCGTGGGCCTGGGCAGTGAGTATGATCCAATATTCAGTAGGCGCTCAAATAGCCGTGCAGGCGTTTAAACTTTCATGAGCTTGCCCCTCGCGCTAGCCCGGGGCCCCCACGCAGCCTTCACGACTGAGGCTAGCCCCCTCTGGGTTCGCGGCTTCGAGCTCTATTAGCCTGCAGGGTGGTGAAGCCGATCCGGGCCCCCGCCGGGGCCTTTGGCTGCGCTGGAGGCTTTGTCACCAAGGAGCCTGCCCGGCTGGCAGTGTCCAGAGACAGCTGATGAAATAGAAGCCGCAGGCTTGACGGGGTGGGAGCTGGTGGCGGAGACAAGGAGGCCATTCACGGGAGGCCAGGCTACTTTTACCATCAGGGGCAAGTGGTTTTGAGAAAGTGAGTCACTTGAACTGTGGTCTCTGATAGGGAACAAGTTCTCCTTTTCTCGTCAACTAACTGGATCTCAGATCAATTTAACTCTCCACCTGCTTGGCTTTGGGGTCCACAGTCCCCTCACTCCTTGCCCAGGGTCAGAGAAGACAGGAGGCCGACTGGGAGCTGAGGGTCCTCGCTCCCGGCCCCTTGCGTGCAGCTGGCTCAGCCGGTCCGCCCACAGCCATGCGCTTTCTCGACCTGGAGCGTCTGGAATCTAAATTCATCTCAAGCTGTGACTCAGGGCCTCTTAGGGAGACAACGCGGGTACAGCAGCCCCACCCCCTGGAATGTGGACAGAAACTGGGCTGAGGGAATAGGCTGCTGACGGAGGTGCAGTTTCATTGTAGGTTTCATCACTCTTGGGCGAGCTCAAGGCCACGTGGCAGGTGGACGGTTGTTCGTGCTGCGCACTGAGGGAGCCCTTCCTTGACAGCCCTGTTCTCTTTCCCTCAGTCCACTTTGACTGCTCCGGGAAGTACCGGTGCCGGTCATCTTTTAAGTGCATTGAACTGACCGCTCGATGCGACGGGGTCTCGGACTGCAAAGATGGGGAGGACGAGTACCGATGTGGTAAGGTCATGACCCTAGAAACACAAGGACATCAGTGCAAACACTCCCTGACCCCTTCCACCTGAGAAATGGGTCCGAGGCGATGCCATGGTCAAGTCATGTCCCCACCTGGGATCCAGCTGGCATTCACTCCAGGAGATCTGGGCTGAGTGTCAAGGGAGGGCCCTTATATGGAGCTTAAATTCGTTTGGGGAGACTCCATGAGCAAGAGGAAGGAACCTACAAGAGCATTCAAGGTGTGTCCAGACCGTAAGAGCCGCACCGCCCTGGGAGGGTGGGGTACTGTGGGCCAGGAGCAGGTCAGGCTCAGCAGAGGAGGGTCTGGGCCGTAGAGAAACTGCCCTGGTCTCATGGCCCCTCAGGCCACTAACGGACTGTCTTCCTGTGTGCCGGCCAGTCCGCGTGAGCGGTCAGAACGCGGCACTCCAGGTGTTCACGGCTGCTGCCTGGAGGACCGTGTGTGCCGACGACTGGAAGAGCCACCACGCTGCTGTCGCCTGTGCACAGCAGGGGTTTCCCAGGTAATTCGGGGAGCCTCCAGCCAGTGTGTGGAGCCTCAGTGGAGATAGCGATGAAGGTGGGCAGCTGGGCACAGGCCGGCGCCTCCCATCCCCGTGGCAACCCCAGGTCCCGACCGCTAAGCGACTTGCTCCAGGTCACCCAGGATGTGTCTCCCCTGCTTCTCCCTCCTGGAGCCCCTCCCCTTCCCTGAGTCCCTTGGCCTCCCCTCTATCAAGTGACCCTCTCCCCCTCATAACCCCTCTTCCCCACACCCCTCAGACCTCTCTGCTGGGATGGTCCTCCCTGGAGCCTCCGGAGTCTAAAACTCATCTTGAGTTGTGGCTCAAAGCCCTCTCAGGGCAAGGCAGGTGGGCACCCTTCTCCAATCTGTCTCCTCATCTTCGTCCGCTTTCTTCACTCCAGACTCGCCCTTTCCTCCCCTCTGTTGCTTCAATGCTAAGGTTTACCTCTGTCTCCTTCTCGTTCATTCTTCCTCCTTCTCTCTTGGACGCCCTCCTTTGGTCTTCTCTGCTTTCTGTATCCGGGGTCAGAGGTCTGTGAAAAAGAAAAAGACAGACTGACCAGTAGGATTGCGTGGGTCCCAATCCCAGTGCCCACGTAGCCCCGACTCATGACTCAGGCCTCAAAATAGGGATGATATTAGTACCAGCTTGAGAGGGTGGGTGTGGGGCTCCAGGACCCTGGAGGGAAACCCGGCACCTGCAGGAGTCTGCGGTCGTGGCTGTTGCTGCCACTGAGGCTTTGGCAGTGTATGGGGCTCCAGTTGCAGCCTTTGGGGTCTCCTTGTGTCTCCCCACCACCTGGCTTGCACCTGCAGGCGACTCTCCATCTCAGTAACAGCTGGCTTTTTCACCTGGCATCGGCCACAGCGGCGGGCTGAGCACCTGGGCGGGGGTGGGGACGGGGATGGGAGGGTCACTGCTGCTGCCTTGAGTTCATCTTCTCCCAAACTGAAACCTGACCCAACTGTGTCTCCGATGTATGGTCCCCGCACTGCCCCCGCCCCCAGCGCCTGCAGTGACCTGATGAAATCCTGCTTGGAGAGTTAGCGACGGAAGCAAGCCAGCTGCATTGTCGTTTGTTCATCCCGTCACCTCCTACCTCCTAACTCTTCAAACACCCGATTTGAAAAACCACTATGCCCTCTTGACCGTGGTTCTCTGGAGACCTGTCTCCTGACCCTGCAGACGCCGGCTGCTTCTGGCGCCCCTGAAGCTCTCCGTCCACGTGCTCGCCCCTGGAGCGGGAGCCCGCCCCTGCCCTGGGCAGCCCGGGAGGCCCTTCACTGCCCCTCCAGCCTGTCACCCCTGGGGTGCTCAGGGTCCCCACTTTGGTGCCCACCTGAAAACACCCCACCTGTTCTGTGTTCTCATCCCTCTGGGGCCGCTTCAGGCCAAGCAAAGTCGGTTTAGCTGAATGCGTCGAGGAGGGGGCACCCAGCTATGTCAGGGAGGGTCCTCCCTCCCACGTGCCTGGAGCCCTTGGTGAGTGGATGGGTTGTGGGGTGGTGGCTGCCCAGGCTCTTCCAGGTCAGGGATGCCTTGCTGAATTGGCAGAAGGAAGCCAGTGAAGGTTTGGGGGCACAAAGTGACTCCCCCCAACCCAGGACGGTACCTGTAATACTGAGATCTGAGCACAGGTGGATTTGAGGCACAGAGTGAATTTCACACATCGGGTCTGCGTCTTCCATGTGCTTGCAGCTACGTGAGTTCAGACACCCTCAGAGTGGACTTGCTTGAGGCGCGGTTCCAAGAGCACTTTGTGTCCATCAATCACCTCCTGCCAGATGACAAAGTGATTGCTTTACACCACTCGGTGTACTTGAGGTGAGCGGCCAGGTGGTGTTGCGTCCCCACATGTGTCCAGTCACCCCCTGGACTCAGGCAGCTCCTCCAGGACTCAAGGGCGTGAGGGTGTGTCCTCCAAGTGCAAAGTCGGGGCTTGGCCACTTTGGTTAGACTGGTGGATGCACCAGGCTGGGGTACAAGAACTTAGCCCCAAAGCAGGCAAATACAGACTGAGGGAGAAAGGGGGCGGGGTGGGTGAGGGAGTCACGTGATACGCACGTCATACATGCAGTACCACACCTCGTACACAGAGGGCGCTGCAGGTGTGTTTGGGGAAAGGAAGGGGGGACTATCAGAAAGAAATTAAGAAACGTATCTATTATTTACAAACTACTTTCATGTTCACCATTTATCTTACACGTTTCCCCAAACAACTCAGGAGGAAAGTAAAACGAAGTATCTTCAAGTGACAGTCAGGTACCCGAAAGCCTAGAGGGGTCACCTGCCAGGCGTGTGAGGTGCGTCGGGCACTCTGAACCCACAGTCCATATGCTCTTCCTGACCCTTTGGGCCAAACCCCAAGAGGAGTGTGTCCTCTTTTCCAGGAACCAACAGCCTGTCAGTCTGTCATTTAATTGACAATCGCCCCTGGTCCCACGTGCAGTCTGCAGGGACAGCTTATCTCTTGGGTCCTAAAACCACAGTCTGGTGACACTTGCTTTTTCTTGCATGATTGCGCGACAGGACTGAGGCTCTAGAGGCAGGAAAAGTTACAAAGGGATCCTGGGGTGCACCCCACCCATGCAGGGGAGAGTGTGTGTCATTTCCGGGGCAGTCACACCTCTGCTCTGGGGAGGAGTCCTCTCTGAGGGGTGTGTGTCCCAGGCTGCAAGGACTTCCTGCCAGGAGAGCCTGTCACGCCATCCAATGGACACCGAGTCCCCAGGGGCCAGTCAAGAACCTCGGGTTAAAACTGACATGCAAACGACACCAGTATATGTCGGTATCATGGAGCTCATTTTGCATCATTTGTCGTCAGCAGTACAAGCTTAGAGGCACTCAGCAGCTGGTCGCTTACCGCACTTCACTGTGGTCACGTGTTTTATAATGAGCTGTGCGACCTCACTCTCGTGGGTTTTTTTTTTTAACAGACTCAAGTTGGAATCTGTATTCAAGAGCAGGGGAATAGAGTTTATTTTTCTTTTACTCCAGGATTTCAGTGCATTTCACAGGCCTCCAGTGTTTACCTTTAAACCTAGTCTTTTTCCGCTTTAGGGAGGGGTGTGCCTCGGGCCACGTGGTCACTTTGATGTGCTCAGGTAAGAGTTACAGAAACGCAGAGATAAATGGAAGCTCGCCCTGGCTCACAGGCTGCCTTGTCCCCTCTCCCCTCCTCTGCTGCCCGTGCCTTCCTCCCAGGTGCCAGGCGGGAGCCCTGTGGCCCTACCTGCCAGAGGAGGGGAGCGGTCAGTCTCCCCTGCCAGGTGCGGGGAGGCAGTTCGTAGCCGCTTCTCAGCCACAGTCAGGACCACGTTGCACGATGCCCTGTCACTCGGTGGTGGCTCCAGGAGCCTGACTCGCTGTCCCCTTCTCTTCCCCGCCGCACCCCGCCCCCTCCACACCCCGCCCCCGCCGGAACAGTATGCAGGCTGCTCTGTGCCCCAGACACCCCCCAACCCGGCCTGGGCAGGCGCCCCTTGTTCCTGGCAGGGGGTTCTTGTTTTGGGGCTGGGTCTGAAGAAGTCAGGCACTTGCTCAGCAGCACCTGTGTTAGTGAGGCTCCCCGCCCTCCTGGAGAGCTGTCATCATCCTGGGAGCGTGGGCGTCGTGGGCAGGGGGCTGCCAGCACCCGGCTCGGTGCACCAACGGGCTTTTCCCACTGCACTTCGCAGCACCCAACCCGTCCCGCCTCGGGTGACCTGCCCCCCACCTCACCCTGCGCTCGCCCTGAAGCGCTCTCCCCTGGGCTGCGAGCTCTGAGTGGGGCAGGACGCCAGGGAGAGGAGGGGTGTGTGGGACCCACCCTGACCCTCGTGTTCCCCTGCAGCCTGCGGTCGGAGGATGCGCGACAGCGCACGCATCGTGGGTGGGAACGTGTCCTCACTGGCGCAGTGGCCCTGGCAGGCCAGCCTGCAGCTCCAGGGCTACCACCTGTGCGGGGGCTCCCTCATCACCCCGGTGTGGATCGTTACAGCGGCTCACTGCGTCTATGAGTGAGTGCTCCTGCCTCCTGGCGGGGAGGGTCCTCATCTTCCCCAGACTCCCTTCCAGTCTGGGCCACGTTGGGATGGGTCTGATTTGGGTGGTCGGCAGCAGAGCAGGTCCGGAAAGCAGGAACACAGACCAGATCGTCCCAATGTCCCCCCCGGGGGGGGGCCCTCCCCGCTGGATCCATCTCCATCAGCTGGGGGAGACTGGTCACCCTGAGCTCATTTTAAGGACCTTAGACCTGCAGCTCCTACAGAAAAGACAGAGAGAGGAGGAAGGGAGCTCTGGTGCAGGAGGGGGCCTGCGACGCAGAGGCCCCAGACCTCCCTGCAGTGACTGGGGTGGACCGCGCGGCAGCCGGCCTGCCGAGAGGGAGGGGGCGTGCGGGGCGGGCGGCGAGTGGCCCCGGAGCAGCCTCTCCGGAGGGGCGGCGCGGAAGAAAACGGCAGCAAGTGCTTCCAGGCAGAGTAGCGACTGCCCCTGCTGCGTTCTGGTTCCTAGTGGAGAACGGCCCGGCGGCCCCTCACAGTCGGCAAAGCTGAGCTCGCTTCTCCAGTGCCCAGACGTCCCCAGGGGCGCGGCGCGCAGGTCCTGTCTGGGAGGCGCGCGGGGCGGGGCCGGGGAGGGCGCCCCCTGCCGGTCCCCGCACTGGCTCTGGGGACTCCCGCGGTCCATGGGTTCGGGTGCTCGGGGCGC